CGAGGAAATGTGCTGCAAATGTCACGTCCTGATATCAGCGCAAATCCTTGAGGTCACGCAGGCCGCGAGTGCGAATAAGTGCAGCTCAGCTTGTCATAATGATGTCCGAGAGAGAAAGATGGAGGCTCGCTCTTCGCCTCAGCGGAACCTCGGCTCTCGCTAGTCACCATTTTTTGTTCTCTTCTCCTTTGACAATCGCGTGTTCGGAGTCCTCTTCTCGAAGGCACCACGGCGATGGCGTCGGGAGCGTTTGTTTCGATCTCTGAAAGCGCTTTTAGGACCTCAGTCGAGCGCCGTCGTCTCCCATGTGACGCCTCCGACACCTCTGACTTCGACAAAACGTCGAGGTGTGACAAATGATGCGCTGGCATTTGAAGATGCCCTCCCCAAGTGTGAGTTCAACAGCTAAAGGTCAACGCTCCCGACTTTGAAAGGCGCCGTATGTTACACAAAACCTTGACGCGTGCTGGCTCCTGATTGGCCTGAAGCGCGCCTCCATCGGCGCGGCGATGTGCTCCGGATTCATCCTTTTTTCCAGAGGACTCGGACTGAATCACGAGTCGGCAGAATGAGTCAGAACCCCCCCCCCCGCACACTTGGGCCGTGTTTGTCACTTCAGTCCCTCAAAATGCGTTTGTCCCCTGCGTGACCTGCTGGAGTCATTCAACAGGAAAGCTGAGCTTCACCTCACACAGGAACACACAGGCGACATGTCGATGTTCGGCTGGATGAAGCTAAAAGTTTCAGTGCTTGATAAAATATCATCGTACAATATCATCTTTAGGCAACAAGGTTAGTTGGTTAAGCTGAAGGTGGAGGTCAGAGGTTTGTTTTACTAACCTGTTGGCCTTTTATACTTTTAGATTTATCATTACATCATTATTTATTGAATTTGAAATCTATCAATAACATCAAACAATCTTTGTAGGTGTAGCACCGGCTAAATGAGCACAGCTAGCTTTACCGAATATAGAAAGAAAAAATACAAGATGTCGGAATATGTTTTATAAATAAGAACAAAGTAAACTTTAGTGAAACGGGTACATTTGCAACGTCAAAACAATAGTTGCAGGAATCCAGAGCAAGAACTCAATTCAATTCATTTTCTTTTGTATAGCCCAAAATCGCAAGAACGTGTATATTCATAAAGAAATAGCTTGTCATTTAGCATGCTACACGCTAACAAAGGTCACATGGTTAACAAATGAACACGTTGAGACAGTCACCGAAACCACCACGATCTGATTTATGCTCCTATCAACGATTGGTGTTTTGCCGGGATCTTACACATCATCACTCACGACGGCAATAATTAAATTATGTTTGTTATGATTTACAATCACAACAACATCATGAGCAGCGCCGCCATCGCTCCGCGGACGAGCGAGGGCCTCATCCGTCAGCTCCGTCAGCTCCGTCAGACGCCAGCTGAAATATGCACAAACAGTGTTGTTATTCCGAGGAAGGACCTTCATGTGCACGTTCAAAGCGCTTGTGTTCCTCCTTCGTTTGCAATACAAAATAGTAAAATGCACTTGCAAAAAAAGGCTAAAATTACGTTACCGGCGCTCCACCGCGTTCTAATTATGGAAACGTCCATTCATTGCCTGCGTTATTCAGTATGGCGACTCAGGAAACTGACCTCGGGGTCAGGAGGACCACGTCTGTTTGCCTCTGTTAATTGCGGTGTGTTAGTTCACGTAGGCGGAGGCCGGGACGGAGTAACGCTGTCATTATCATTCGCAAAGTGCTGTTGGTGTTATTCAACTTCCTTTCTTCGGCGGCGTCATCAATTACCTCCGTTATGATCGTTATAATGTCGTTACCAGCGTGATGATTCATTCTCGTTCATAACATCATCATTATGAAGCCGCAGACAGACGGAGGCTTCGCGGCTCGGGCCGTCACTGGAAGCCGCCTCCTGCGTGTGTGTGTGTGTGTGTGTGTGCGTTTGAGGAGGAGGTCACGTGACTCAGGCAGGCAACTTGGCCAGCGACCTGACAGGCAGGGTGACCCGAGCGGTGAGACAGCAGCTAAACTTCATCTGTTACTCTCCTTCTCTTCCTCTCCCTCACACGCACAAACAAACACACACACGCACACACACACACACACACACAATCCTCCCTTACCAGCGGCCTCCTGGGTGCCCCTGCATGATTTGTTTTCCAATGTTTCTCGTGAGTGTGTGTGTGTGTGTGTGAGAGAGGAGTGTGTGATGATTTTCTGCAGAAGGAGAAAAGTGAGATTGTATCCGATTGTGGGTACCTGATTAAAGTGTGTGTGTGTGTGTGTGTGTGTGTGTGTGCTTTTAGAATTGTTCACATTGTGAGACGGGAGCTAACAAGGGATCCGTGGGACTTTGATTCCGATCAGCACTTTCCTGATAAAGCGACGCTGCGTGTTTATGAATTGCTAATGGCGCCATTCATCACGCCGCGCGTCACGATTTAACATATTGAAAGTCACGGTTGGCCGGTTTTACATCTAGGCGGCGGATTCCAGCGCGATCGACTGTATCATCGGTCATTTTAATTTATGAGAGATTAATGCACCGATGCCCCCCCCCCTCCTGCACCCTAGCAGTGAGTAATTGTCACTTTTACCACTTCCAACTCTCCGTGTTGCTATGGAAACGTGTCTCGCCACAGGGTCGATGAAGGTCAGATGTTTTGCTACGTGGACTTTATGATTCAGAAATGAGGTGTCGAATCCGGCTGCTATTGCTTCGCTCTGTGGCCTCAACTCAACTTTCGGGGACATAATCAAGTGTGTTTTCAATGATTGATACGTGGAGTTCAGGGGTGGGGGGGTGATGGAGGCGGTGATGGAGGCGGTGATGGAAGGGGGGGGGGGGACTCGGCTGCTCACGTCTGAGTGCTGCAAAGTGAAAATGTTCCATCTCCGGGATGAATAATTCCTCATAAACACGGGCCGTAACTTCCTCTCCGCTCAGTGAAAGTTTGTCTCCGCTGGAACCAAAGTAAAACATTTATATCAGAAAGAAATCCATCGGGCTTCAAATCCATTTTTCATACATATTGATGCATTTTTATGAGCGGTGTTCATGGAGGATTTTGATCAGATGTCAGCAAGTTAATTTAAATAAGCGACACGTTGTTTGTTTCATTCTTTTAAATATAACATTTTAGTGTCATATAGATTCATTTATTGACTTCTACATTTCTCCTCAGGTGTTTTATCTCGTCTGGATGCATACTCCGATACAGAAGCTAAGATATTTAGATTAAATGAAATATTCATTTTTTTTCGGGCTGCACTCATAAAACGGTATAAATGATGCACGAGGCATCGAGAATATTTCATATGTCACAAAATGCAGCCTGACGTTTTCCAATACACTGGAAACTGGTGGGTTTAAAGACAATACGTCGATGCAAGTGAAACAACTGGAAATCCTGCAACAAACAACAACCTTTTTACAATGAGTGATTGTATCACAAAAAAAACTCTGCAAGAACGTTCTTATTAATGTTGATAACAATAGGATGCAACTAACTGTGAACTGTGTAAGAACAAATGCATTTTGATTACCGATTAAAACCAGTGCCGGCGGGCTGCGGGTCGGTCCGGGCCTCGGTGTTGCCTCCCCCTTCGCATCCGATTCCGACCGAGAGCAACACGCAGCAGAATCGCATACTCTGTGTTCATGTGCATAGCAGTTAGCAAGACATTTCTGAGAAAGTCAGGACATTATTCTTTATTTTTTAGCAAAATTACCAAACGTTTGTAGAGTCGGGGCAATTACAGAGAGTAAGGTGATGAATAAGACCTTGGGTTTTTCGCGCTATGGGTAAAATGAGCTTTTGTTGGAGGAATCGGTTGGTCCCTGAAGATCCTCGCGTACAAAACACAAATATTGATTATTGCGGTAACCAGGGAGCTAATTAGTGAGCTTTCTCCCTGCTTCTTTCCATTGTTCTATCCCTTCAAAGTGACTCACCGGGAATAATTTAAGTAAACAGGTTGTTTGGATTATTTTTAGCTCGATCCATCATCTGTGTGTGTTATTGACTGCTGAGGCTCGAGTCATTGTGCGTCCGTGGGCTGAAGGCCGGACCGGGGATCCGTCACACAGTCCGTGCAGAGAGAACAGGCCTCATAATGGAAGGAAGGTAAAGAAGTGAACTGTGCCTGATTGTAAAATCAATGTGGCACTCAGCGGAGACGGAGCTGGTTAAATGGATTAGAGCATCGGTTGAAATAGGTACTCTAAGTAAGGACGCGTGTGTAATAAGCACTAATGCACTGGACTCCTGTCCGCACGCACTGTAAAAGTTCACTTTATGTTGAATGTTTGTGCCATTGATAGTGACTCGATTTTTTAAGTTTTATCACTAAAACGATTTGCTTTCAGCTCGCGCATCGACCACCGTTGATTAATTGCGTTTCTGTAAACTTGGACACTACCCTGCTTTACCTGGTTCAGTCTCCCATCGATCCACCCTGACGCACCATTTTTATTCTTAATCAAGGGATATTTAATGGGCCTCCATGAAATACTATAATTTCCCCTCATTGGCTGTACTTTCGGTGGATGTGGATCTGCTGCCTTTGTCACGGTAGAGTGAAAAAGCTTGAGGTCTTTGGACACTAGCGGACGTGAATGGTCGTATCGCGCAACTTGATTGCTTGACACTTTTTTGTTGACCTTGAGAAAGCTTCCCTCCAAAATAAAGGATTGTTAAAAGAAAGCCGGCAGCATGAGCATGTGAATCCACGTTGTCTCAATGCCTTGGTTGATCCGGGGAGGACACTTTGTACGATCCGTCTATTGACGCGGCTACTGTGTCCATTTAACCTTTCACCCCTCCCGGGGTGCGTGCATCACTGCCAGGCTCCCGCCGTCGATGAGCAACTGCTTCGGTTGTGAGGAACTCCACCGCTGCGGAGGATGTTAACGCGCCACGACGGAGGTCCGGTTCGCTTCCCTTCGTCGCTCCCTCTGAACACAATTTCTCACCCTTCTTGTCTTCCAGCCTGGCAGCGTCGAAAGAAGCTGCGGCGAGGAAGGCCGCCACCCCGATGCCGCCGTCCGAGTTCCTGGACAAACTCATGGGCAAAGTCTCGGGCTACGACGCCAGAATCCGACCGAATTTCAAAGGTAGGAGTTGCCCCCGAGGCTCGGTCGGATAAAGACTGTAGCTAAACAAAGAGCCCGTCGGCGGGTTGTTTCTGCATTTCACGACCTCCTCTAAACGCCTCTTTCAAGGGTTTAGTCAAGGTCGTCGCCGAGTCAGGTTTGTATTCACGTGTTTTATCATTAAAAGAAGAAGAAATGAACATAGAGACTTGTATTAAAATTCTGTTGCTTTGTGTCTAATCATTTTTGGTTGTTCTCAATCTGTCGATCTCTTTCATTCGCCCTTTGCAGTGCTCCACAAAGGTAATTCTACCCATTGCGTCACCTGTTAAATATAGATCAGGCTCCACCCCCCCCCCCATCCCTCCGAGCCCCGGTCACACTCTACATACATGCAGATCTGTAGTGGTGCTAGGTGGCTACATTCCTTGCTATCCACACAGCGTCCCCACTGTTGGTGTCTTGGTGGTCAAGGTAATGTGCCGCGCCCCCACAAGTCTGCTGCTAGATATGATTTCATGATGATGATGATGATGATGATGATGACGACGCTGGTGATGAGGTATAAGATGTGGTGACCTGTCCCTGAATGGAAGCCCCCCCCCCCCACCTCCCCCATGAAGACACATGTCAGAGGTTTCTACATTAAAACGAGCTCACAATGGGAACACGGTCCGGACATGAATACGTTTGTATGACATTAGAAAAGAACTGGCGCAACTCTCCATATTCATTTGGTCTATGAATAAAACAAAAAAAAAACATTTTGAAGTGATCGCAAGAGACACAAATTTATGTGAACACAACTGGAATTATTGGCCTGATTTTCTCTTTGTGTTTTTCCAACATGAACTGATTTATGGCAATAAAATGTGACACTTGAGCCTTGTTGCATGTTAAATACCGACATATCTTAGTTCTGCAGAGTGGATGTGAGTAATTTCTGTATATTTAGTTGGGCAGGTCATCTGTGTTCTGAGTGTACGCAACATTAGCACCCTTGTGATATTCCACCGTCCCTTTATCAGTTATTTCATAACTCCCCAGCAGCTACATTTCAATACGTAAAGCTCACTAATAAGCTCACTAATCATTTGAAGTAGCTCTGGAAATGAGCTCCATTAGCAGGAAGAGGATCTTCTGTTGTCCCGTGAATAAAGGCAATGACATTTAAATATCGTGAGCTTCGTTTTAGCTCATTCCATTTAGTCTGCAGGATCCCGGATGCTCTCCTTTGCTTTCGTCCCGACAAGGAAGGGGTTAAAGGTCACAGAGGATCTTTTAACAGGTGGAATAAAAGGGCGTCCTCACGATGTGTACACTGAGAACACCGAGCAGCAGACTGCGAGAATGTGCAGCAGTGAACCACAGCTTATTTTTATGAATGCTGCCATGGAGCTTTGCCTTCTTTTATTCCTTCAATTCTTTTTTTTTTTTTGCTGAGCCCATAATGGCATAATCTTTGTGAATGAGATATCGCATCTCATGCACAATAGAATTGAGGGGATGGGGGGAGGTCGTCGGTGGGGGGGGTCTGTATTATTAAACCTGCCGCGGCTGCAGAGGAAGCGGCTCGTCCTTCCCGGCCTGCCGAGGCTTCGCTCGGGGGTCGCGTTGCGGGGCCTCGCGGTGAATCCACTGCGGAGTTCCTTCTCTGCATTTTAAGATTTTATTTCCCCTCCGCTGCGCCACGGCAACATTCCCCGGTGGTGATTCGCCGAGACTAGTGCCGCACTGACCTTTCACAAATCAGGATTCAAACGAGCCGACGTGACAGTTATTCGAATTTTATGGCTTTTATGATTTTTTTTTTTTCATTCTTCTAATGTGATGCAATAAAGAGGGAAATGCAGATGAAAGTACGCTTTGGCGGCGTGTTGGATGGCCATAAACACCCACCCGCTGACGTCAGCAAGCTTTCAGAACCCCCCCCCCCCCCCCCTCGTCCGACATCACAACCGGAAAATAACTCAAATGAGTGGTAACTCCCCTTTTAGGGGTTGACGTCTGTGATGAAGATGTCCTGAGGAGGAGGAGGAGGAGGAGGAGCTCATCTTTTACGTGATCTGCGCAGCTAATTGCGTCAGAGGGCCGATTGTTAGCAGGCAGCTCGATGTGGATCTCCAGACGCTGTCATGGCTGTCAGGTCGACGGAGTGGCGTAGCGTGATGCAGTGTGTCAGTGTGTGTGCGCGAGCGTGTGTGTGTGTGTGTGTGCACGCACATGTGTGCACATGTGTGCACATGTGTCCTACCAGCTATGCCCCTGCACAACCAGCATCACATTTATGAAATGAACAGCTTGACAGCTTTGCTCCTTAATAAACTCTGGCGGGGGGAAACGGACTAAAGGATCATAAACTCACACAGCGTCGTCGAGGCAGGGAGGGAGGAGGGTGTCGGGGGGAGGAGGGGCAAATGGAAGACTGTTCTTGTTTCTTAGTCAAAAAACAAAAATTCATTTAGAACAATTTGAAGGATCATTCTACACATTACAACATTGACCTGAACCTTCAAATGTCTTGTTCCCTCATTAAATAAAATATATTGAGAGCAAAAAGAAAATCAAATAAATACTAGATCTGGATTTGTTAGCTCTATCAGCGGGGGCTTTTTGCAGAATTACAGAATTAAATGGGAACAACCGAAGTTTAAACAGGAATATTAAAAGTTGTAATATTGCACAGTGGTATAAATTAATATAGCTATTGTGTGTCCATATTATTATTTTAACCTCTGATAACAATTAAATCACTTAAAGCTTCTTCTCCTGATGTTCTCCCGCGAGGAGACTTCGGGGGGGGGGTCTCACCCCGCTCTGCACCTCTAAATGGAGAGAGCATGATGGTGCAGCTAGTTGTTCTCCTCCGCCCACGCACCCCATCAAATTAGCACCAGCCCCACTAATTTTGGATGGCAGGCGGGTGGAGGGGAAGGGGGGGTGGGGCTTGACTTCGGGTAGAAGAGATGAGATGAGATTTGCTGCAAGCCACAAATGTGCCAGCATGAGAGGAAATTACACTGATCGTGACCGGGGGTCGGCTGTTAAGGGAGGCGGCGGGGGGGGGGGGTGCTTCCGATTGATTTAGCAGGTTCCTCCATCGGAGCAAACGCTCCTGACACATTCGGGACGAGCCATTTATAATCCATGACTTCATCTGTTCTTCCTTTCTCCCTCCCCGCCTCCTCATCCTTTTATTTAATTCCTCCCTTTCCTCCCTTTGCCTCCTCGGCTCCTTCTTCCCTTCCCTCGCTCACGGACCCACTCCGAGTTTTGTCACCTCCTCAGTTTCCTATCTCTTCCTTCCTTCCTTCCTCCTATTTTTTCTTGCTTCATCACCCCTACATCAACTCTCCACTGTGACCCCCCTCCCCCCTCCTCATTATTCGAGGCCTTGTTTAGCGAACCCGCTCATTTGTTTCACAAATTGGACTCCTTTGACCGGGCAGCCAGTCACAAGGAGGAAAGACGCGCTGGTCTCCTCATCGGAACGAGGCTTTTTTTTTCTTAATGACCGGACACTCAGATTTACGTGTATGAGCGGGAGGCCGACAGCAGCCTCACAGAGATAACGGCGGGCGAGGGAACGGTGTGTTGACACGCGTGAGAGTGTGTGCGGTGCCTAAGTGTGCGCGTGCGCGCTTGATGAATTGCACCGGCTACAGCTGCGCCTCCCCTCTCCGTCATAACCTTGTCCTCCCTCATCACTCAAGCCCGAGACGCAAAGAGGACGACGTCCGCGACGGAGCGTCTGGTTTCACGCTCAGCCAGAGCCGGGCTAGCTAGTGAGCCGGCTATCTGATACCGCCACCTCAGACTCCCCTGCAGGATGGGGGATCGCCGCACGCACGTGTAGCTCGCCAGCTTTTCTCCACCTGGCGGCTTCATCTCGGCTTTGCTCCTTGGGACGGGATCCTTTAACTTTAATTTTTCCCCCCCACCGTTGTCGCTCTGCACTTCGACCCAACGAGCCGGACGACTGTGTGAGCGTACGACGCACAGCGTGTTTGGCTTCCATCCTCTCCGTCAACACTACCTAACCGGTGTTTCACCCTCGACTGCTCCCTTTCTCCTTGCCAGGGTCGAGCGTGCCGTGGGGGGGAACGCGGTTATTAGCTGTCGGAGCCCGGCGTTCATTTGGTGTTATCAGCACTTGTTTAATGGCTACTTAATGGGATTAATGTGCATACGGTAATGAGCGTGGGTTGGAGGAATGGCTGCAGGCAGGAAGGAATAGAAAGCGGATGGGTCGTGGAGGGGGAGAGAGAGAGAGAGAGAGAGAAAAATGGGAGAGGTGCAGCAAGGAATGAAGGGAAGGTGCAAAAGAAATTGCAAATGGCGAACCGACTCGAAGGGATTTGCTCACGACAGGAGATTGGGGGGGGGGGGAGGGGGCTGCAGATGGCAAAAGTGCAATCCAGGCTCTCACACTGCAAGCACAGAATATGTTTCCACTAGCTTAGCGGCGGGATATTGATGCTAACACAGTTCCCAGTGGGCTGCAGAATCGCTCCGTTATGTATAACACTTGCAGCATGAATAAGCAGCTCTGAGATACAAACTGTAATATCCACCCCCTCCCTCCTCATATTCTTTTTTTAATTTCTTTTCGAGAGCTACTCTCTGCTGAGATTGCGAACACGGAGATCTGCTGGAGCGAGGGGACATCCTCACCCAAAGGACGGCCCGGTAGCGCTTTTTAGTATTCTAGGTAATGGCCCTATCCTTTCCAAGCCAGGAAATTCAGATGGGAGGGGGGAGGAGGGAGGGGGGGTATATTGCACAGAGCGAGGAACTTTAATGTCACTGCAGAGGTGACTCTCTCCTGAGTTATGATAAAAAATATTGATCACTCTCCGGCATCTAGCGGGAGGAGGTGCCACGGCAAGGGCAGCGGGGAGAGGAATATTGAAGAGTGGCTTTTAAATGCAGACGAATGTACGAGGGCCCTCAAAAAGAGACGGGGGGGGGGGCAGGAAACAAGGAGCTTTCCCGAGCCAAATACATCACGTCAGTATCGCTCCTCCTTGATCGACAGGCAGCTGCCATAAAGCGCTGAATCTCTTCTGATGCACAGCCGATCTGGGGATTGTTGACGGCTACATTACTCGCTCTTACCCGCCGCATTTCCCCGGTAGTAACCAGCTCGAGGAGAGCAAAAGGGCGTAAACCCTCCTTGTGAGAGTGAAGGGCCGGCCGGGGGGAGGTCGACGTGTAGTTGTTGGTGACACCGACGCGAAGGCGTTGAGCCGCTGTTGTCACGCTCCACACGGGAGAACCCGTGTAAAGCGTCTTGTTTGCTGGCGCCAAACAAAAATCTGAGAAAATCACCAATCCAACGACACAAAGGCGAAGCTCCCCCACCAAAGGTGTGTGTTCGAGACTGTGTGTGCGTGTTTTAATGGCGGAGTCAGGTGCTCAGATGTTCGACAGGCCGCCCGGGCACCAGGCTAAGCCCGGGCTTAGCCTCGACGCGGAGAGAGGGGGAAGGGGGAGGAAAAATTGCCTTTCATGGATTCAGAGAGATTATAGAGTTTAAGTCACCTGTCTACAACAGTTCATGCTCACGACGAATACTTTCCATCTATCTTAGGAGCCGTTTGCAACCTTCTTTTCTCGCCCCCCACCCCCCGGCTGACAATGACAGATTACAATATCGCTCCCAGACTTCCACGCGGCGTAGTCGCCATCCCTCACAATGGCAGATGTCAAGTACAGCAAAGCAGGCCGGGCACGGTTCACTCAGTTCAAGGCGGTGCGGAGGCAAAAAAAAAGTCCCCCGTAGGTAGTGGCAGGACATTTGTTTGGCCTCGCATCAGAGTCGAGGGTAATGGGCGGACGATGAAGCTGTGCCTTTTGATGTACCTTTGGATGGGGATCAAAAGGCCGCCTGCTGACATTTCTTACTTCTGCTGAGAATTGATTACAGGGAAATACATTAGCAGTTAAACACAGAGATGTGATCATTATTAACATTTGAAGGTCAGAATGAGCTGAACACCGGCCGACCTTTGCAGGACCAGAGGTTCTTACAGGAGCCCAGATAGGACTTTTAATTCTAAGTGTCTGAGATGCTTTGTTATAAACACAGTGTGAGTGTTGTAGGGTTGGTCGAGTATCTGCCAATCAGTGGACAGTTAAACATGTCCTTTCTTTCTAGAATAATCCCACGAACAACTTCTCCTCAAAAGTCTTTGACTTTCAGTTCCTTGATATTAGAAGTTTGTTTGGGTCAACATGTGTTGTATTATGAAGCCCATGCAGACGTTGTTGTAGTTTTACATTTCAGAGGGGGTCTTGGAATATTTTGTTGTTTCGATTCTTACTTTCAAAAGTAATGGCGCCCATTTGAAGAGAGAAGTAGGCTATCATTTCCTTTTTTCGGCCTTGGAGATAGTTCAGTCATTCCTACGGTTGGAGGGGGGTTTCAGCGTCCGGGGGTCACTTGGGAGGAGGAATCGATTTCATTCAGTCAGTTGAGTCGTTCTGAAACAAACAACTCACCTCCAACAACTTGTTGCCCAAAAAGACAAATAAAGTGTAATTTCCTTAAGGGACGAAATGAGGCAAAGAATTTCCAAACGAAGCCAGTTTGACATGTAGTCTTTGCGTTCTCCTCGCCCTCCTCTTCCTCCTCTCTCTTCCTCTGGCCTCTTGCATCTCCTGTAGTGCATTTTGCTAGTACTGACTTAAGCTCCTCTCGACCGGGAACTGCATTGCAACCCTCCTCCTCATCTCAGTGCATCGCCGCTCCTCTCCTGCAGTATGGCAGTACGACTGTTCCTCTACGCAGACGCGTGCATCCCTCCTTCCCGCTATTGCCTTCACAGTATGTTGCCTCCCCGCCTCTTCTCCACCCCTGACCCCTCTCCCCCCCCCCGAGTCTCCCCCCACTGCCACACACTGCCCCCAACCCCCCCCCCCCCCCTTTAATTTCCCCGGTGAGTGTTGGACGAAGTTCGACACCTTAAATAATCCAGCCTTGCGGGTTTGTTGGGCCCTTGGTATAAGAAACAGGTGTGTTCTCTCTTGAAGACCAACCACGCCACCCGTCCTGAGGGGGGTTGTAACATATGATAGGTGTAATTCTGATCTTTTTTTATTAGACCCCAAAGGCTCCAAAAGTGAAGCTACTCACAAGAAAGGTACTTTCCTTTTCTTTTTTCCCGCCCTTTTTTCTTCTTCTCTTCTTCCCTGACCAAGGTTGTGTGTTTGTGAACAACCGCCCATGCGATGAAGAGGCATTTTGTGGAGAAAACTAAAATGCCTTTTTGTTTTTTCAGCAAAAAAATGTAATGTTGTAGGCTATGTTTGTTGACATGGTCCAAATATACAGTCTATATTGTGTAGGTTTGAAAGGTGTGACAATCATGAGCATTAATGCCTCGCACAATTGTTTAATGGCAGAACGTGCTCAGTATGAAAGAATTCAGCGCGGTTTCCATAAGACATTCAGTTCTCTCTGGCAAATGAACAGATATGGACGCACAACTTTATTTTTTGTATCCTCACCACGCGTAGTTCTGCTGGTCAGAAGACTTTGGGCTTTTGCAACAAGCCCGTTATTGTACTGTGTGCATGTATGACACCTGGCAACATCTGTGCATAGTCTCACAGCTGTTACATGCGAGTGCTCCCTTCGATGCCGAGCTGAAACAGAGTCCGGCCAAACGAGGGTCTGAAAGACACATCTCAGTAACGATTGCAGCATACTTGTCGACTGCTGGTTAGCTCTAGTGAAATATAATAATAATAATAAGTGTGTGTGTGTGTGTGGTATTGTACTCTTTTTTTGCTTGATACGTTCAAATGTATTAGCCCAAATTAGCCCAACCTGTGTTAAAGTCATTGTTATGTTCCACAGAGCTTGTGGAGAACATCTTCAGACTCTCGGGAGGCACTTCATAAGTACCAGTATAAAGTATGATGATAGCAGTAGTATTCAAGTACAGTGTAGTACAGTAGAACTGTATGCATATCATAGGGGAGAAAAGTATTACATAAAACACTTCCGTGTAATATGTAAAGGATAGTAGAAGTACTTTACATCATACAGTGTATTTATACACGTTTTATATTGTTGTAGGACAGTATGGTATAGTGTAGTTTAATAGGGTACATGGTACAGTAGAGTACATGGTACAGTACAGTAATGTTCCGTGTTGAAGAACCTCTTTCGGCCCATTTGGCTCGTTAGCTTAACATGCTAATGCTGGTAGCACAGCGAGCCCGTTCAACAGTGGCTCCAGTGACCCGTGACTAATGTATATGTGGCCCTAATTCACATGCACAGAGAGGAATCCCCCCCCCACCGCCATTTACACACACACACATATCCGCGTTATTCTGCATTCTGCATTTGGTGCTGCAGGACTTTCCAGACAATTACTGCTGGTGATGGAGTGAAAAGCGGAGGTGACGCTCGGGTCGATCTTTATAGGGCGCTGCAGCCAGACGAGCTCATTTCTGCTCCTTTCTGTAATTACAGCAACAATGAACGCTGAGGAAACTCTGGAGGTCCCAGCGCTCACAAAGGGAACTGGAGGCCGCGCCGGCTTAAGAAGATTAAAACAAAAAAATTCAACTTCAGCAGCGTCTTTATGCGCAGCATCGCAGATATGATCCTATTGTGTCTGATTACTTTGGGTGACTAATGCTATTGAGAGAGACTCCGTCGGTCTGCAGACTAAAGATCCCAATTACCTCCTCAGCTTATTCCACTGGCCGATGCTGTCGGCTTCACAGGAGGCAGCGTTTTATATTAGCGGCCCGTCTGCCTGCAGGCTGCTGCGACGCATAACTTACCCGCCGGCGCTCGAGGGGGAGGAAAAGATGAAAAAAATGGATGAGCTAATAAGAAATAATTTCTCATTTTAACGTTCAAATAGCATGGGGAGAATCGTGAGGAGTTCAGTGATGTGCTTTGTGAGGGAGACGATGTTCTTCTTCATTTCGTGAGACAATATTTGAAGTGGTGGCTTGAGGCTTCCTGGAGAAAACGGCATCAGAATACAAATATTTAAATCACCACCATGGAATAAAATGTGTTGGTTTGCTGATTGTAATAACAAGCGGAAATATAATGTGCAGATGAAGAACCTCATTCTGTAGCAGATTTGAAGGTCTGCAGGACATTCCACTCTGCAATAAATGTTGCTGCTGGAGGATCTGGGCCTGTCCCTGGTGGACTAGTCCCTGCTGGAGGATCTGGGCCTGTCTCTGGTGGACTGGATCTTCCAGCAGTGGCTGGAGGATCCGGGTCTGTCCCTGGTCAACTGGTCCCTGCTGGAGGATCTGGGCCTGTCCCTGGTGGACTAGTCCCTGCTGGAGGATCCGGGTCTGTCCCTGGTGGACCGGTCATTGCTGGAGGATCTGGGTCTGTCCCTGGTGGACTAGTCCCTGCTGGAGGATCCGGGTCTGTCCCTGGTGGACCGGTCATTGCTGGAGGATCTGGGTCTGTCCCTGGTGGACTAGTCCCTGCTGGAGGATCCGGGTTTGTCCCTGATGGACTAGTCCCTGCTGGAGGATCCGAGTCTGTCCCTGGTGGACTAGTCCCTGCTGGAGGATCCGGGCCTGTCCCTGGTGGACTAGTCCCTGCTGGAGGATCCGGGCCTGTCCCTGGTGGACTAGTCCCTGCTGGAGGATCCGGGTCTGTCCCTGGTGGACTGGTCATTGCTGGAGGGCCAACTGGTCTCTGAACAATCCTCTCTCTGACGGTCTCTTTTACAGATAGAATTCTAGTTGCGCATCGGGACTAAACTAAGACTGGTTCCGATAGAGGATATGGACTAAACTGAGGCTTGTTCACGTAGAGGATCAGGACTAAACTGAGGCTTGTTCACGTAGAGGATCAGGACTAAACTGAGGCTGGTTCACGTAGAGGATCAGGACTAAACTGAGGCTGGTTCACGTAGAGGATCAGGACTAAACTGAGACTGGTTCAGGACCATGGTTACTTTCAGGAACCCTCCATCTCTGTTAGTAACAAACAGAACTTGAGCTCCGACACGTCCCTCCGGTGCGGAGCTAAATCACCTGGTAGTTCTCTCTTGTCTCAACTTATCCGGAAGAAGTCGGCATGACGCAGATTAAAGCTCAGCGATTTGTTCTGATCCCGCTTCTCACTTTGCACAGCAAGCAATAAAAAGGCATCTTATTTCCCTTCACAATCCTCAGCGAGAACCTTTTACCTGTGATGGTGTTTAAAGTAGTTTCACCGCCGCACACGGTAACGATCATTATTCTCCTAAATCTGCAGAACCGGTCGGCTTTGGATAACTTTGGTGAAAATGTCAATTTTAGGAGAGGGGAGGACGGCCGAGGGGACGGGATGAGGATTAGGTCAAAGTAGCAGGGAGGGAGGTAATGCGTCATATGCAAGAAGGCGAGTGCAAAGGAAAGAAAAGGACAAAGAATCTACCAAAGAAAAGGCTTGATGGAGGAGAAATGAGAGAAAAGGTAATTATGTAGAGAGAAACAAAAGGGAACAGAATAATCGATAAATGAACTTGTGCATCAAGGGACAGATGGGAACATAAAAGGGAAATAAGAGAGAGTAATGTTAAAGAAAGGACAGTGAAAGAGGAACAATAAAGGAACACGTAAGGGCAGAGGAAATGAGATGGATAGAACATAAAAACAACAATACCAATAAGGAGTGAAGGGAAAAGACAAAGAGAGCAACCGCAGAGCAGATAATGAATGGATGAGTCAAAGAAACCTGGAGCGGAGCACACAACACACACTCGACAGGCAGAGGAAGCCATCAGCGAGGGGGAGACGTGGGAGGAAGGATCTCTCTCTCTCTCTCTCTCTCTCTCTTCACAGCATGTTCAGCTGAATCCAGTCGGCGGGTCGGCGCCCCGAGCGCTGCCCTCCTCCCTGATGAGGAGGCTCCTTCTGTTGTGGGATGTTAAGCACACATTACGCACAACTCACCTTCTTACGCCGCCGCCGCCTTATGCAGATTACTGTTAGGCCACCGGATATTTGTCCGCCAACAGTTCCCGCCCCCCTCCCCCACCTCGCAAGAGGCCGCGAGGCTTCCGTCCGTCTCGTCCCGTGCTTATCCAAGTGGGCTGTCTCGTGTAGAGTACCTTTTGCAATGTGATTGCACGGCGGTGCAGAAAGCTAACACTGCAAAATGATGACTGCGGGCTGGAGCACCGAGTGTGCTTCTGGAGAATGTAAAGCAGGATATCCCCCCCCCCCCCCCTCCTCTCCTGAAATGCCCATCCAACATGGCGGCTCGCCGCTGGCGGAAGGAGCCGCTCGGGCGATGGCAGGGCTTCCCTCCGCCGGAGGAGAGATAAACACGCGCTCGTATTAACGCGACGCAACGGGTCCTCCGTCACGCCCGGCGGATATGAAGGATCCCTGATGCCTAGTTAGTGCACCACACGCCTGCGGCTAAAGGAATTCATGTCCCGTTCACGGAGACACACACGGGACAAACGTTCAAATATCCAAAGTATTGAATAAGTTCTAATTTCCGTACACTTCCAGTGTAACTGATTCGGGTAACGAGGCGCGAACAAACCCCTCTGTAGATCCTCCAGAATCCAGAGAGACCAAACATCTCCTTCAGGAGCTCTTACATTCGTAAGAGCTCCTGAAGGAGATGTTTGGTCCCATGGGCGACATGTTGAAGACATTGCAGGGGAAGAGGGGGAAAAAATGAGTAGATATCAATTTTAAACTTAACAGCTTATCACTCGTATTAAGAGGATTTTAATGTATTACAAGAGTGCAGGGCTGAGAGACGCAGCGCACGAGGTGAGGAGGTGGACTGCGCTAAAATCAGGGACTATCCACCCTCCTCGCAAAACGATTAAAGCACGTAGATCATCGTAAATTCTCTCTCTCACACACACACACACACACACACGCACACACAGTCCATCTGCGCAAACACTATCGGAACAGGAACGCTCAAGCAAACACATGTTCACACACACACACACACACACAGGACTACAGCGACAATGCAAACACTACACAGCTCTCATTTTCCCTTTATTCTGTTGATCTTTATCACACACACACACACACACACACACACACACAGAGCATCACTACCTCAGTAATCCACAGAGAACAGAGTCTCCGCCTATTGATTTCTGTCAGGCAGCCGTCACGTCGATGT